TTTTTTTTTTTTAATGGGAGCACTGTGGGTTGAACTCAGGACCTCGTTCAGACAGCAGTGGAGACCCCGGGAGATGGCAGGGCCCATGAGTCTGCCGTGTGGACATAAGAGGGTACGGGAGGTAGCAGGGCCTTGGGAAGTGACGGTGTCCTTCCCCTCTGGTTTTCTATTAATGAAGAGATCTAAGCCAGTAACCAATCGCTTCTTACACCAGCTCAGCCTCAGCGAAGGAATGTTTCTTGACACAATTGGCAAGTGGTTGACTGAACCTTAACTTCCAGTGCTTTGGAGATTTGGCTCCAATTCTAGATTTCCTGCTTGCTACATAAGGATGTGCGTGTGTGTGTGTGTGTGTGTGTGTGTGGAGTCGGGGTGCAGGGGTCGTCAAGCCTGCTTCCATCGCTATCCCAAAGTCATGATCTGAGAGTTTCCTGAAGCACAGCTGTCAAGCTAGGACTTCCTGGAGGGCTGAAGCCCTGTCCCAGCTTTTATCACACACACCCCTGTGGGCGGGGTCAAAGCACAAGGACTCAGGACCTCCTTGGCCATGAGCGCATCATACGGCCTGTCTGCAGCTCTAATCATTACTCTGGACAACTGTTTTCAGCAAATACATGTGAGCTCAAATTTGGACGTAGTCTGCAAACAACACAGTGTGAAAATAAGACATTAATATTCACAATTGTTTGCAAGAGGAAGGAAGAACTTTCCAGACATTTCTCTATCTCCCTGACAGCAGGGTACAGGAGACATAGACTGGGCTGGAAAGTGAGACTCCCCTGGGGTCCTTTGCAGCCCCGCTAACCCCTCCATAGCCCTGTCATGTTGAGCTCATCACGAAATGTCAGAGCCTCAGTTTCTTCAGGTTCAGCTTCAAAATGCAGAGCAGTGCCTACTTGGCTGGACAGAGAGGCAGCCACGCTCGCAGGGAGGAGTTGGGCACCGGGCTGTTGGTGCTGGTCTTCCTGCTTCATGGCTGTGTGACTGGGCAGGTGACTCCACTGAGTAGGGGTCAGCTTCCTCCTCCACCCAGTTGTTGGAAGGATGAAAAGCATGAGCTTGTGTAAAGTGCTCAGTGTCTGGCCATCCCTGCTCCGTATAAACCACTGCTGTTAATTGTGACAATGAAGTGAGATCCTCAGGTAAAGGGCCTTGTGTGGTGGCGACATCACCCAGGCTGTACTCTCTGGGGACACTTATATCACTGTCAGCATCACGTTCAGTGAGACAGGGGAGGGCTTTCCACTTTTACGTGATTTTCCTCATGGATCTAGGAGATCTGATTTCCATGAGCTGAGTGGGCTGCCCTGGGAAAGGCGGTGAAGGAAGAGAATCAGGACCTCGGGTGGGAGTCAGGGTTTGGCTCAAGACTAAGAAATTAGACTGTCTGATTAGCAGCAGCAGCAGCAGCAGCAGCAGCAGCAGCAGCAGCAGCAGCATCTGCATCATCATCATCTGCATCATTGCGTATCTGTGTGCAGGGAGAGGTGGTCTGGAAGGGACCGTTATTAGAAAACTTCCTCTGGGGATTAGAAGGCGGGGCGGGGTCGGGCAGAGAGATATAGCAAACAAGACTAACTACTTCTGCTGCAAAACCGCTGAGGTTTTTGGTAAACTGAGCCTCTGGGAACGTCCTGCATTGTACTGTGCTGAAGTACAAAACATCTGGATTCACTGAAACAAGCAGCGGACCAGGCTTTTACAAGGCAATGGCTCCTACAAGTTCACCACCAGACTCCACTGCTAACTCCTGAGCACTTGCCCATCGGCAGGCCTGACTGCAGTTCCCACCCAGAATGAGCAGTTTGGTATCCGCCTCCCCTGTAGATCAGGGCCCGGATGGAGGAGAGAGAGGCTGAGCACCGCACTGCCAGGAACCGCCTGCCCTGCGGCTTCTGTTCTCCAGCACAGCCTGGTGAAGAGGGCCTGGGGGAGGTTCTGTCTGAGGAGAGCTCCTGGAAGGGGCTGCAGGGCACATGAGGTGGCCTGCAGTGAGGGGACAAATGGCTTACGTCTGTCCTGGCAGGACATCTGACCAACGCCCCCTATCCCCCTGCCTGGGCCAGGCCGGGCTAGGCCGAGTGCCCCAAACTCAGTCTTGCAGAGTTTCCCACTGAGATGTGCTCTCTCCTCTGACTCCAGACCATCTCTCACTCAGAGAGCCTGTGGCTCAGGTAAGAAGAACACGAGGCCATTTCCGAGTAATGTGTCCCCAAGCAGCCTGGCAGATCGAGTTCTCAGTCCCAGCCTTCCTTGCGTGGAAGCAGCGTTCTCCACCTGCTTGTCCTGGAGCCTCTCCCCAGAACAACACTCTGCACACTCAGGGCTGGGGCTGGGGCTGATTGGTTTGCAGAGATTCAGGTTCCAGCTGACACCCCACCTCTTAGTCCGTGACTCGCTTTAAGGCCTGGGACCAATGCACTGAAGGCTTCATGAGAAGGAGCCAGGACTCCCGCACCTGCTGGAATTCGGGGTACCCACAGAAATTCTACAACACTCGGGTCTCCAGAATGACGGTTGGGAGGGATGACGTTGGGGGGATGGGGCAGAGAAGTTGGGGGGGCACATCCACAAGGCAGAAGAGTTACAGGACCCCAGCCCCTCTCAGGAGGAGCAGGTTGATTTCAGGCAGCTCCGGCTGCTGCCACTTACTCTCCCGGTGGCCTTGGCAACTTCCCTGACCTCTCAGGCCTCAGTTTTGCCTTCAGCAAGCACACAGGTCACTGCGAGCTCACACTGCTGGGGGAACTGGAGAGCTGGCATTCAGGGTCCCGACAGAGCCCTGGGCAGCTGTAAGGGCCCCTAACCCATCACTCTGCCACCCTCACAACCTGAGCTTCCAAGAGCGGCCCTTGGAATGTGCCTGTTTCAGAGAGGGGCTCAGCGCCCCTGCCCTCACCTCGCAGGGCAGGAGGCCATTTCTGAAATCTTCCCCTTGTCCACCCACGGTCTCTTGCCTCCCTCTGCTTCAACCCTCTGTCTGGCTCTGTCCCTCCTGCTCCTGAGTGGGTATCTCTGAGTGGGGGGTCTCCACTGTTCAGGGCATAAGGCTGGTGTGGGGGCTCCCCTGACCACAATAGGGCTGTCGTTGTGGGGAGAGACTCCAGGAGAATGCAGCTTCCATGTAAGTAAGCCTGGGACTGAGAACTCAATTCAGACCCAGGGCTGGGTCCCAGCTGCCCTGACACCTCTGTCACCAGACTATGTCTTACTGGGTGTGTGCACGTCTCTAGTGTGTCATCAGCAGTGTCCAGGGGCTTTCAGGCCTGTGCAGAGCTTCTTAATACCCCTTGCCCAGTCACCAAGCCAGTGTTTGCATGATTCAGAGAATGCGGTTAATTCAGCCCTCATTACAGACCCTGGGACCACAGTGTCCTCTGAGCCCCTGGCCCCATCTGTGCAGAGGGGCTGAGCATGGGGACACCCCCATGGAATATGATGTACAGGCGGATGACTCCCAGGTGAAGCAGGAGCACCGCCCTCCTAGGATCTGGAGGCCTGAGTAGGGCAGCCGTCTCGAGGTCTGGAAATAACCATCATGAGACCATGTGCTGATCCAAAAGGGGGCAAAGTAGTAAAAAGGGTGGGGCCAGGTTCGGGGCTTAAATCCAGTTCTGCCCCTCCCATCCTAAGTGACCTGGGAAAAGCCACTCAGCCTCTCTGTGGTTCAGTCCCCCTTTGGTAAAGCTGGGATAAGCAGGACTTACACTCACAGTTACTGGGAGAATCAGAGCAGTGAAAACATGTGAAGCTCTTAGCCGAGCACCCAGCCCACAGAAAGGATTCAGTAAAATTATCTGCCATTGTATTAAATTCCAAGGCTGACAGCTGGAACAATCTGGCTTCTCCCCGTTGTCACAGGCACCGACACAGGAGGGCATCTTTACTGTCTGGTAAAAGCAGCCAGTGTTGCCAGACAACACTGGGGGCGGGGTGTCACCATGTCCCCCACCATGTCTCACCATGTCACTCCTGGCACCTGAGTGACCAGCCCGGGAGGGCCTCATGGATGGGGCACAGCCAGCAGTCCCACAGGGCCAGGTGGGCAGTGGGGAGGGACTAGGAGGCCAGCAGGACTCTGCCTGCCCTCCTCTCCAGCCCTGTCTACTGAAGATCAGAAGTGCTGAGTGCTGCTCTGGGTAAGAAAGTTCCTGACACACCCAGGACGAGGACGCAGGGGAAATGTGTTGAGAATCACCCCGGGGGGGCTCATGAGCACCAGGTCTCCACGTCTTGGGCGTCTCTCTTGGCAGATGCCCAGACAGGGCTCTCTGACCCAGAGTCCCAGGGGCAACAGTCAAGGGCAAAGACAAGACCCCAGCCCACGGGGAGTGACACTGTGCCCTGCTTACCACGGCCCTGGGCGGGCGCCACATCACTGGTGCCTGGCTGCAGCGCTGAACAAAGTCACACAAATGATCCAGTTTTCCCTGAAAAAAGGTGTGGTTGTGAGGAATCTACAGGCATAGATGCTGCCACTAGAGGGGTCTTGTCCCCTCTGACTCGAGATGGCCTTCCAGGGCTCTGTCCCCACCACCACCACCAAGACAGCACCATAGCCTCCACCTGGAGCCACCCCCCCCGAACATCCAGAACCCTGGCCCCAGCCTGACAGGGAAATGCATTTGCTAGGAACCCTGGTGGTGGTGCGAGCATGAGCCCGCATACATTTTGGCGTCTCTTGGGCCACTAGGTCAGGAGGCCTTTGGCTCTTCTCTGGTACTCAGTGACTGCAGTCCACAGCCCGTAGCTCATTCCCACTCGGGCCGTGCCTTACAGGCCCAGGCCTGTGCACGAAGTGGCTCCCCTCCCTTCCTGCTCCCCAGGGCCCTTCTCACCTCCATCCGTTCCATCCGGCCTCCTTGGCATCCACAGGGGACAATCACCGTGGGGCATGTTTGCATGGGACATGTCTCCTCAGGCTCCTAGGAAGAGAAAACCCTGTCTGCTTCCTTATCTGGCAGCTCCTGGCTGCAGACACATGACATCTGTTGCCCCAGCACCTGTCAAGTTCTGGTCACTCAGGGAATGTTTGCTGGAGAATCAAGGACAGATGAGCAGTGGCGGGCACAGTAAGAGAGTGTCCTCTGTGTAAGACACACGCTTCTGCTTCACAGAGATGGGCCTCCTCCAAAGGCCAGCAAACTCTGTCCTGTCCCCTTGGTGCCCGGAGCCGCCCTTGTTGGAGAAGCTGGGCCTGGGGCTGTGTCTCACATTGGAGGCTGTGGGGGGCGGGTCATGAGCAGGGACAGGTTGGTACTCACCCAACACTGGCAGACCCAGTGTCCCCAGGCCACACTGCAACCAGCGCAGATGCCATCCCAGGCAGTGACCCTGTTTCCCACCAGATCTCAGGCCCAGGTCCCCTTTCTTAGGACACAGTGCCCCTGCTCCAACTGCCTCTTATGGGCCCTGGTTTGGGCACCCGCCCTGGTCAGTCACAGCTGCTCCCCTGCCCCTTGGTCCCTGGGCTCGCCTGGGCTGCACCCCCTTCACAGCTCAATGCCCTCCTCCCTCCCCTCTCCTCGGCCCCATGTCCTTAAAGGTCACCCCCAGCCAAGACCCTCATGCTGACAACAGACTAAGATGGAGACCAAGGGAACGGAGCCCAAAGGACTCAGAGCCTGGAGAAGGGGGACCAGGTCCCTGAAACCTGAGGGTCCTTTTCCAAAAGCTCACCTGAGTCCTGGGGAAGGACCATCCTAGAAACACCCCTTGGGAACTGACAAAAAGCCCATTTATTTCAGTAGGGATCATAGCTGTTCCTGAAACAGGCCACTATGCGTTGCTGATTCAGTGACAAAGGCTCTGAATGAGGCCGTGCTGGGAACATGGGGAGTGTGTTGTCTGGGTGATACTGGTGAGTCCCATGTCCTCCTGGGGGTCCCTCTGTGCCTCTCTGTCACCATCCTCCTGCTGCCAGCTCTCCCTGCCCAGGCAGGTGGGAGCTGGGGGGGTGGGGGGGACATATCCCCATCGGCAGCCGGAGGCCTCCCTGTGCGGGTCAGTGTGTGCATCAGGCAGGCTGACAACATCAGGACCAAACACACCGCTTACCTTTGCTCTTTCCTGGGTCGGTGGTGGCTCCTTGACAGTCTAGAATGGAAGTGATCAAAATTCAAGCGATCAAAGTCCAGTGCCCATAAAGTTTATCTCCACCGAAGTGATACCTTTGGGGACAGGTCTCTGGCATGGACTGGCTCCTTCTCCTCCCACCCCAACCTGGGGGTCACAGTTCCCTCCATGATGGCTCTTCTCACCTCCATCCATCTCTTTCCTGCCTACTTGGTATCAGAGAGGGACAACCACTGTGGGGCACGGTGACATAATTATAGGTTGGAAGGGGCCTGTGGGGCTCTGGCTCAGCTTTGCAGACAGGAGGGGACCCTGCTCAGCGGCAGCAGGGGGACAGAACATGGGCTTTGGGGTCTCAGTCTGGGTGTCCCTTGCCTGAGGGTTTGTAACCATCAGGCTCCACCTCCCCGAGCCTCAGGCTCCTCAGTTATTAAGGGGAGTCGGTCCCTCCCTGTAGGGCCGAGGGAGAGGCAGGCAGACTAAGGCACCTGGTCCCTGGTAGAAGCCCCCCCCCGGGAGTCTCAGCAGCAGCCCTGACGTCATACGAAGACAAGAGAGCACTCCCACCCCTTCCTCCTCCCCCCTCACCTCCCATCCCCGCAGCCCCGGCCTCCCAGCCCTCAGGGGTGCCAGTCCGCCCCCCTCCCCCAGCGTCTCTCTCCTCATGTCTCCTCTTGTAGAAACCCGACCTGCTGCTTCTCTGCTGGTTGACGTGTCCTTTCTCAGCTCTGCTTTGTCCTCTTCCTCACTCAGCTCTCTGGCCCCCTCCCTGGGCCAGTCTCTGTCCTTGGCTACTGGCCTGTCCTGATAAGGACACCTGCCACACCCCCTGAAGAGGACATTTACCCTCAATGCCCCCCAGGCTTCCACACCAGACCAGCCACCAGGGTGTGAGCTCCTGTGGGCAGGAGTGGGGCTGCTTCATTTCTGTCTCTCTGGGCCCAGGACGGAGCCCTGCACATCCTGGTGACACAGTCATGACTGAGGAAGGAGTGATGGAAGGCACTAGAGATGTGGAGGGACTGTGCTGTCTTCAAAGGCACAGCTGTCCCCAAGGTTAGCATCCACCCGGCCAGGGTCCTCCTTCCTTTGGGCCATCGGTGCCCCCTGCAGACCCCTCTTCTTCCCCCAAGAGCAGAGGCCCCTCCAGCCTTGGTCCTCCTGAGTCCCCCAGAAGCCTGACTGCTGTGAAGCAGGCCTGGTCTCAGGGACCTGGGGTCCCTTCTCCTCAAGCCTGGGATAGCCCATAGGCCACCACCTCCCTGTGAA